TGAAAGGTTCAAAAAGATTTACTTGGATTGTTGTAAAATAAAAAATGGTTTGAGGGAAACAATATTTATATTGTTATTTTCAATTTCTTGTTTAAAACCATTTAAAATCTATAGGGAATATTAAAGAATCATCTGTTCCAATTTCCCCTGTAATTCTAGATTTTTCTCCTGTTGAAATATATTAATGTTCAAGTATCGTATATTTAAAATGAGACTAAGCCAGTGTTTCTCGAACTTTAAATATTGTCGACCCTATATTCAACCATATATATATTTATAATTTCCATCTCGCCCACCCCCCTCCATACAATACAAATGTGTTAAATTCAATTTTACACTATACTTTGATGCTACAACTACAATACGATTTAAACTTCTTAAGTGCCCCTGACGTATATAAACGTCTCGCTCAGCCAAAGCGTTATTTTCTCCGGACATATATATATACGTCTTTATGAAGTATGATCTTCTCTGTGCACTGCTATCCATAAGCAGTGCACAGAGATCTATCTATATTCATTATATGTATTTAAAAGTTTTTTAATACTGGTTAAATAAATTACACTGAAATGCCACTGAACTAGGGATACCTACCTAGTAACGAATTGGGCCTCCTCTGGCCTTGAAAATGATTGCTACACGATGAGACTTAGATTCAACAAGTTTCGGTGAACGTTCCACGGGAACGATTTGCCAAATATTGGCTAAAGCTGTTCATTATTCAGTAAGGTTCGTGGGTGCTGTGTGAGCACCTTTCACGCCTTGTTCGAAAACACCCCAAAGACGCTCAACAGGATTTAAGTCTGGGATTCTAGGTGGCTAATTTATGACAGAAAAGTCACAGGAATGATTACCCAACCAGCTAGTAGTGAACTGTGGGAGGTACAGTTGCCTTGCCGGAAAACTCCATTACTGTGTGGATAACAGAATAACATAAACGGATGGAGGTGATCACCCAGTGACTCTAAATACCAAATAGCATTGATGAAGGTTGGTACACGCACCAAAGATCCCAAACAGTGCCACAGAAAAACACCCCAGACCATGATTGAGCCACCATGTGCTTGTGCAGTTCCAGCCTGGCATACAGGATCCATGACTTCATAAACCTGACGCCATATCTTCAGGCTTCCGTTGGTGTTAAGTAGTCGGAATCAAGACTCATCACTCTATGCTACTAATTTCCAGTCCTCTACATTCCAGTCTGTGTGCTCTCTTACCCAGGAAAGACGTGCAGCCCGATGGCGAGCATTGAGCCATGGTATTCTGGTACTTCGATGGCCCCGAAACCCATACGTTGAAGCGAGAGTTGAACAGTCCATTTACTGACTGCACGCGACTGGCACCTTCATTCAATTGGGTGGTAATTTGAGCTAATGTCTGACTTTTCTGGCTACGTACAATATGCCTGAGCCGTCTCTCACCACGCACTGTCAAGGCCATTTGTCCTTTGCGGTTTGCCCGATCGCTAGTTTATGGTCCACCATTCTTGTATTCCTGGTACACTTTTGACACTGTCGACCTTGAAAATCTTAGCTGTCAGGTGATTTCGAAAACTGAATGGCCCATGCGTCGCACACCTACGATTTGTTCGTGGTTGAGGGTGTCTGATTCACAGGCAGTTTATCTATAGTGGCAATTCCAACTAATTCAGAACAACCACACAGTACATGCTATATATGCAGTTACCACAGCAGCCTCACTTGCGCATAAATGATGCGTAGTGCTGCACAATTTACCTAACTCTTGTTATTCCTAATTCAGTGGCACTTCAGTGTAATTGCTCCCTACTTATTAATTATTACTTAGATTTATTTTTCATTTCTTAAATATGAGACATTGATAAACTATTTTGCAATGTCTTTTTTTTAATTCTTTTCACAAGAACGTGTTCAAAATTTGGAGTGCGGCTTAGATTCTATTACGGCTTAGATACGAATAAATACGGTAATTTACAGCATGTTTACTTTTTAATAGGATTACATCCGTATGATTATCTGAAAAATAATTTATTTATTGAAATAATCTATCCTTATAGAGCAAATTAGATTTATTAACTCACATGGAATGAAAATAAAAAGAAATATGATGAATGAAAAATGTATCTAATATTAACGTGTATATTTCCAAGAAAAAAATTGATAAGAAATCTATTTCTTTCTGTAACGAAATGAGAAAATGATCATATACTTCAACTACGCAATTATTTTGCGTGCACTTTTGTCCTATGTCTAATAAATGGAGCATAAATAAATTCTTAGTACTCCAGCATTAAAGGAAATATGGCCTTGAAATGCTCTTATCAAACAAATGGGCAATTCAATTATGGGCAACAGCAATGTTCTTCGAACATCAACATTCTTTTTCATCCAAAAGAAGACGGCGTAATCATCAATTTAGAATGATCCTCTTAAACAGAAAGGAATCTTTCAAAGAAAATATCTTTGCATAATTTGGAATATGATTTTTTTTTTTGTTCGTAGTTGTTAGGGAATTGCTTAGATTCTTTTGAGAATAATTCCATTTAAAAGTTTAAAATACCTAAAATTATTATTTTTCTTTAAATTAGCCGTCTCTTCTTGAGAAGGTTTATTAATATAATAAACTTACAACAAAAATTGAAAACTAAATGAGTTTTGAATGAAAATCATTGTCTATACAAATTTTAAAGACAAATAAAATAGCTATCATGCACCACAAGTATCACACAGAAGTAAATAAAATGAACAAAACATGACAAATAAATTAAAGGATAGTTAACAAAATAAAAGTTATGAAACTAATGAAGTTGAAAAATTATAAACAATTAAGTTACAATGTTAGGAAAGTACATTGCACATAAAAAAATAAACAAGTTAGTAAATAAACCAAGACAGTGTAGTAAGTTAAACAACAAAGCCGTGAAAACAGAACAATGAATACAAATTACAAAACCAAAACAATGAAGTTACAAATTAATGCGAATGTAATTTTATTTGAAACAAGCTGAAAACATTCGGAGGCCAATTGATTTCAAGAGCATACAGTTTAAACTTCAATCATTTTGTTTCTGTCATTTTGAACAAAGTCGGATATGATGCTGAACACTTTGCTCACCACGAACTATACAATTCGAAAGATCGGAAAGGCACTGATAAAAATGGAATCTTTTTTACGTGATACCCTTTTATAAAAAGACATTGATTATTAAGAAATATATCTTATGATTAGAATTCAAAGGACACCGCTTAGTACTGATCAAAATCAACATCTGGAAAGGGAAAAAAAGCTATTATAACCTAATTTCCAACATTCTTTAAAACTGAGATGAAAGCATTACACATACACCATTAAGTTAAAAGTTCATTCAAAGCATAATCCCTAGATACTTCAACTACTTAAAGCCATCCATATAAGATTAATCACCGGAAAATTACTTCTAGTAATGATGAAAATTTGAAGCTGTTAAAGTAATGTCAACTAACAATATTTCTTTACTAGAATTAATGAAAAAATTTAAACTTTAGTTTTAAAGCTTTATGAACATTGCAAGTGTGCTCAAGAAACAAATAATTAAGAAAGAACCTCTTTTCTTAAGTGATGTTCTTTAATGAACTAAGATAAGATTTATCATTTTATACTTTGATCTCTATAAAAATTTTACCAAAAACTAATTCTTCAAGAAATACTTTACTTTAGCTCGTCAAACTTTCCACACAATTACAGTGCTGATCATTTAAAGTTGCATCTGTGTTTAATCGTAAAAGAGATATATTTTGAAGAAAACGAACAGCAATATGTAAAATACTTCCATTTCCATCTCCGTATGAAAAAAAAAATGATTCTTGTTTATACCCTGAAAAAGATTTAGAAAGTTTTTATTTATTACCGAATTTCAAACATATATTTTCTTGACATTTTATGTTATTTTTAGTTTAAAGTTTGTCCTGATTATTCTAGAATTTCAATACCTTTTAAGTAAAGCATAAATAAATATGACATTTAATCACAGGATTTTTACATACCTACAAATATACTCAAATACGAAATAAAACAATGTTTTTCTAAAGCAAATATAAAAGGTAATATGTTCCAATATTTTTTTTTCAATTCATATTAGTTCAAACTCTACTTATATATATATATATATATATATATATATATATATATATATATATATATTAATACATATAAATTTTTATATCCTACATTTCTTATATAGAATTATTTCTTATTATACCTTTCTATGAGAGAAACAATATTGTCTTCTTTTATTAATTTCATTTTACTTTACTGTCTGGTTTATCATCCACATGTGTTCGGAATAGGATAAAATTTTCAAAATGGCTATGTTTTTCATTTCTTTTTTTTTTCTATGCATGTCTACACTTATTTTGAGTTTCATTATTACATGTATGTTTCTATATCCTAATTTTTTCTATAGAATTTTTTCTTATTATGTATTCCTCTCTCATTCTGGTTTATCACCTACGTGTGTTAGAAATAGGCTTAACTTATCAATAAGTCTCTGTTTTTTTCTATTATGTCGAAAATTTCTGCTGTACGGGGAAGGTGGATCCATAAAGCATTGTTTACCCTATTTACTCTTTTAATTCAGAGACAGCTCTAGATATCATAATAGGTCTCCATTTTAGTCCAAAGACTCTTTTTGTATCTGCATTTGTTGTGTCTCTTCAGCTCCAATATCTTTCTTCTTTAGCATTGTAGGTTTTACAACTGTTTCACTTGGTATCTTATTTTATTTTATTATAATAAATAAACAAATATATATATATATATATATATATATATATCTTGTTCAAACTTTTAATCGTTAATAAATTACTTTTTATTCATCTACTCAAGTTCAAATACATTTTTTTAAACCTGTAGTGGTTGACACTTGCTGTTAATACAGTTTTCAAATATTAATTCATTAATTAAATTGAAACCACGAATAAATATTAAAAAACACAAATAAAAGTCCAACAGCATATATAAAATTGAAAATCGTTCGTTGTGTACCTGAAGCACAATGGATAGTGTGTTGGACTTCTAATCGAAATGTCGTGGGTATGAATCCCACCTGGGATGGCCTAATTTCTGCGGATGTGGTTTATTTACTATAAGATATTTTTTTGAATAATTAAATTTAATTAATGAAGAAGTAAGAAACAAAACAAAAAAAAAAAAACTCCAGCACTATATATAGAAAGGAAAATAGAAAATTGCAATTGAAATTGCTTTTTATTTTGTCACTTAATATTGTGATTCTGTCATATGTATATGAATATTTACTTTAATTGTAAGTGTATTTAATAAAAAGTAAAAACAAAATAAAATTTTCCTTTGTATACCTAATTAGAAATTAGTTTTTCAAAAAATTATTTTACATGTTTTATTACCTAATGTCAAAAATATTTCGTGATTTGATAAAATAATGTGGGAGATTTAATTTTGAAATGGGGAATGGGATAGTATAGTGGAGATGTATTTTATTAGAATGCGTGTTAATAAATGTCGTAAAATCAATAACAATATCCTATTGCTTTATATTACAACAAATGCTTGTTCTACCCCTTCAACTAAACTAAGGGTTCCTAAAGAACTTTGTTCTATAAGAAACAAAGTTTATATCATAGCAACTTTGGAACAAAAGTAAAAGGAAAGTTTTCTTTTGATTAATGTTGTTAATGCTTAATTAATGCAGTTTATCTGAAAAGATATTTTTCTTAAGAGCAACTGAGTAGCATTGAAGATGTATAAAACCCAAGTTGTTTAGGAGATAGATTGTACTGTTTCAACAGCTGTGTTATGCAATGTATCCCCAACTACGCAGGGGAGGGAATGAGTGATGAGTCAGACAAAGGAAAGAGCTAGAGAGTAGAACTATACGTTTGAAAGAGAAATGGTATTATTCTTATGTACAATATTTATACAATATTTACTGAAAGTACGCGAGAGGACTTTTAATATAGGTAGTGTGAAATATTAGCAACATAAGCAAATAATCTTAACTCTGTATGTAGTTAAGGTATCCGACTACGTTCGGAACCGTCATTTTAAAAAAGAGCATAAATGGATAATTTTCGTGATATTTAGTGTCATTCAGATTACAATACATGCATAAAATTGTTATAAGGATATTTTGACAAAAAAAAAATTATTTAAATATAATATTTTGGAAAAAAAAACTAACTTAGAATAATTTTTTTTCAAAATGTTCCCCTTTTGTGAAAAGTGCTTTTATTATAATAATATTTTGCCTGTATATAGCTCAGACCTCTGTACAGAGGCTCAACTATGATTTTTGAAAAATTCACATTATTTTCAGAGTTACAACCCATTGAAATGATTATGGGCCTTTTTTTCTTAAAATTTCTCCCCTTTGTTGTCTTAAAACATGGATAAACCCACTTCTAACTTATATATTTCAAAAATTCTAGTTGAGCCTCTGTAGAGAGGTCTGAGCGATATACAGGCAAAATATTATTATAATAGAAGCATTTTTGATAAAAGGAGAACATTTTGAAACAAAGATTATTCTAAGTTAATTTTTAGCCAAAATATTGTATTTAAATATTTTTTTTTTTGTTAAAATGTCCTTAAAAAATTTATACATCTATTCTAATCTAAGTGACACTAAATATCATGAAAATTATCAATTTATGCGCTTTTCCAAAATCACGGTTCCGAATGTAGTCGGATACCTTAAAATTACTCAAAAGTTGCATGAAAAACCATTACGGATTTATATCACAAAATATAGGGTGGGTTTCAATTCACAATAACTAACTCTTTTCAATCAATGCTTGTGTTTGGATGATGAGGGTTGGAGGATTTTATCCAAATCAATCACAAAATAGAAGGCAGATATTTAAGAGCGATGAGAGTTTATTATCGGAAATACATACAGGATTCAACATCAATATTCGCAGAATAAATCTCAGAAGGTCTTCACATCTTCTACAACATTCAAATACAATTCTCAGTGTTTAAAATACACGTAAGTAAAAGATTACTGACAAGCACAGCCGAGCTAATCGGTAATCAGGGTCAAGGCATGTTTACCAATCGCTGGTTGAAACAAGACTGACTCTCGTTTCGGCGGGCATCTCTATCTATAGGCCAAGTGGAAACTTCGAGAAAAATCCGCTTGCGTCATAGAGCGTGCAATTAGTGTATTTCTCTACAAGTTTCTGGAAGAATCCAAAAGGTCCCGAACTCTCCAATATGGCCGCCAACTCGGTCGTCAAAAATGATGCCAACTTGGCTCTATCGCTAAGATTTTGTCAAGTTCTCATTGAATCACCACTATAACGTAAGCGACGGCGCTGCTTGTGAATATTACAATTTTAACGTAAGTTAAATATAATTTAGAGTAAGATAAATGCATTACACATCCAAATACAAATTATATGCACTATTTTACACAAAATTCTTAACACTTGTAACAATGGACTATCCGTGGAGTCCGTCCCCTGTAACTCGGGTTTTCATAAGTCCAGTATAAGTAGCCTAGAGGTCAAGAAAATGGACTCGTGGCCTGTTATGAGCTCCAACCTAGTACCGCTGAAGACCCACCGTGTAGAGGGAGATGAACATTAAATCTGACAAAGCTCAAACGTCCTTCCGTTGGTGTGGTCTGGAAGTTAGGTCAGCTGAGGTGTCGTAATCTTCCCGTCACCATGGTTCACAACTACAAAGTCCATCTCCCAAAGCCCTCATGCAGCTTTGTTATGCGAAGTAAATATTCACTCACTCACTCACTCCATCCAGCTGAAATGACTCTTTAAATTAGAACAACAATGCATCATAAATGAACGCCACTACTGAATAACGTACAAATAATCAGTTAAATAGACGATTACATATAATAGTGGATTATTATATATCAGGGATTGGAAGCTTTTTAGTTGTGGCGTGTGCCAAACCAATATACCATAAAATTCAGCATGACACATAGTTGGAAATTTTTTAAGCAATTTAATTTCCGCGATAATACATGAAGATCTAGAGAACAGAACTCAATAATATGGATTTACAGTTTTATTATATATTAATTGTGCATCATTTAAAGATATCTCTTAACATAAAAATAAACTGCATGTAGTATAACTATTTCTTCAACAAAATTTTTTTAAAAAATTAAAATGTTACATATATTATGTATTTTTAAACATATTTGTTAAAGTAAGAAATGTACAACACAAAATATGATTTAATTATAGTTAAATAAACATATTTTATACGAACTTTACATATTTTACATATTACATATTTTACATATACATATTACATTACATATTTTAATTCGAACTTAGTGCATACATCGCTCCGCTTTTCCTGTCACAAAATGAAGGGTATCATTTGTGACTTTAAATATAACAAGATTCTGAGCATTCAATTGTTAAAAAATGTCCTTGCAAATTTCAAATATCTTTCATACGAGGAAAGATTTTTTATTTAGATATGTAGAACCAAAAGCGTAAATCAGAGTACATGCAACGTCCCGATACATGAGATAAGCCGACATGCTTCACAAGCATTACTGAAAGCATTTTCGCATTGTTTTGTTTTTCCTATCTATAAGAAAAATAGCTTATGTCTATTATTTTCAAGATTTTCGCGCAGTCTAACAGCAATATCATTCTTTAAAGGGACACATACCGTAAAATCCGGCTTATAACATGCACCTATATTTTCAAGCGGCAATTTTTATATATATTTTTTAAATATATTCACCGTATAACCCTCACCCCCTTTTTTACGAAGACACATGAAATATATTTGCACAATGCTCTTATGTTTTGAAGTAATTTATTCGAGGTATTATTTCAATATTTAGAAAAAAAAATGTAGTACACTTCTAGAACTACAAACCTTTAAGTTCATAAAGAATGCCAATTTTTTAAAAAATAAACAGTATTTCGATCTACGTAGAAGTCTAATTATTTTCTATGCTAATCTTTTTTTTTTTATTTGTAAAGCCCTCATTTTTATACCTGGCGTATAATGCGCACCCGTAAATTTCGATCTTATTTTTTGTGTTAAAAGTGCGCGTTATACGTCGGAATTTACAGTACTTTTTAATGAGGAATTTTGTGATTTATCTTTTAGGGTTTTTACTTCTGCTTAGTATTTGATACATCGTAAGGATATCGTGAAAATCTGATTGTCCTCATTATAAGAGCAAATATAACTTGAAAATTTAGAAGTTGTTTTTATTTTTCAATCCATATTTAATTCATAATTTTATTCATCTTATTTATTACATCTGAAAGTGACTTTTAAAAACATTGTACGTATTCAGAATTTTCTGACAATTTATACAAGAAACTTTGCTGAGAACAATTTAAACAGAACACTAGAGTTAAAGAATTAATGTGATTATATATAAAAATGCTATTGTTATTAATCTTATCTTCCAAGTATGTTTTATTTCTGGTAGCCATGTTACTATTCAGGAAGAAAATTCTGTAGATATTCTCTTATAAACTAATACTTTTTGTGCTTAAGTCAAATATGTATTACTAATGAATAAAAACAATACAGAAAACAATATATCTCCTGCACTTACAAAAATCCATACTCTATGTACATTTACTTTTGCTAAGATAAAGAAACACAACTGTCAAAACTTTCGTAAGAACATAATACTCACATACATGAAAATAAAAACAAATACGTCTGAAAGATAAACGATCAGCTCATATTAGACAATGCGCGAAAGGGTATCTATTTATCAACCTAACAACAAGGAAAAAATATTCAGTTTATACAAGTGGTTTGCACTTATATATAAAGTATTTCCTTTTAGTTTGTTTTTTTAATCTTTTTGGCATAAAATGCCCTTTATTTTATTAAAGATTTCTGTTAAAAATGGGATATATATATATATAATGACAAATTTTTACCTGCTTCGCTGGGTATTTCGTGATGTTATATGACTATACATTGTTTATTTATTGTTCATATCAAAGTCCTAGCATTCGGATTTCAATTGAATCCGAAATAATTCTTATTAATCTCATTTATTAAACTAAAATGGACATGACTTAAACTTCTAAAAAACGGAGGTATATTCATCTTAT